TTTTTCTTCTTGGCCGAAGGACTCTTGGATAGTAGAATAAGTCTTTTGGATGACTTTCTTTTCCGGATCTTCTTTGGAGCCACCTCAGCAGCCTGTTCTTCCCCTGGTTCATCAGGCGGCCTGGTAGTACTGGAAGTTGATTGGTTTAAACTCTCAGCAGCAGCCAATGACTCCGCGTCCTTCTTTTTTGATTGCCGTGGCTTTTTCGCTTTTGGTTGTTTTGCAGCTTCACCTGCAGCATCATCACCCTTCGGATCCTCTTCATCAGCAGCTTTCTTCGAAGCAGCACGGCCCCGACCTTTGCCACGTCCTCTTCCTCTGCCTTTGCCCCGTCTTTGTGTTTTGGCGATAGCAGCTTCTTCTTCCTCCACCATCTCTGCAAGTCCCTTATCAGGATCCTCCGCGGCTTCTTTCACCATTTGACGAATGGCAGCTTGGGCCTCAAAAGCAGGAGCAGGGATGAGGAGGGCACGGTTTTTCGGTCTACCAGTTCATTTGTTGGGAAAGAGTGTTCAGCTTATTTAAATGATCCATTGCTAATGCATAAAGTGAATCGTTCGTTGCTTTGCTTGTGAGCTTTGTTTGAACTAACTGGATGCCACCCAAACAAACGGACAACTTGGCAACGAGCAAATAATAATAGTTTAGTCGAAAGATCAACTGATCAGTCAAAGCATCGAGTCTGTCCAAAATTCACATGTTGAGACACGACTGTACTTTTCAGGATCAAGATTGAACACAGCTTATACAAACGATAATCGACATCTGTGACAGCCTTCAGTATCTCTCCCGCATGCTCTTCAGCTCCTAGATCCTTTAGCCTCGCTTCCGCTTGTGCCTTAAGATCTTGGGGGATCTCAACCTGATCGGTCAAAGGCTTCCGGTCCTGCAACAGGTCGATTGGGTTGCACCTTTGAAGAACAATTGTTTCAGTTTGATTCCATGCGCGATAGTTATAAATCAGGATTTGTGCATCTGCATGCATGCAATGCATTGATCCTTGAAACCATTTTTGAAGCCAGTTAGCTAGGGTATCCGGTATTTATATAGATGCCAGCAGAAATCAAATATATTATATAATTTATGCATTAATATCAAAGAATCACACCCCACCAGGTCCTTGAAGACACCCTTGTTTGCTTTCTTCTCTTCATCTGAATCCAAAATGGCTTCAGCCTCCTCGATATATACCTGTTCCTCATGACTAGGGGGAGGTGGTTCATCAAGCAAATTGTCCTGCAACATCGCCCCAGCACCGGAACCTGCCACAGGCTCGGGGACCTCCTTTACTTCAGGCAATGCCTCTGAAGGCGTGGGGCAAACCTTTGCCTTCCTGGGTGACAGTACACTTTCCCCATCACTCTCGATGAGATAGGTACATGGGTCATGGGGCTCAATAGGCTCTATGCATTCGTCATGCGTTTTCATTTCTTCCTCAGCTCCCTCCTCACCATCATCTCCGGAAGAATCCTCTTCTGTTTCATGTCCACAATTCAAGTTGAGCTTCGAGATGGGGGAGGGAAACTGGTACTGAGAATCGTGCTCTTGGATTTGCGTCTCCACCTGGTCCATGCTCACCGCTTTCTGCGCCGCCTCAATTTTTTGGTTGAAGAAGAATTGGGGTTGCGTGACGTGAGCCGCAAAGAATCCGTATGCATTAATTATTGCTGTAAAATTAACATGCAGATTCATGGCTTTTAGGATGGCTTGATCGCATGACCACCGGTCCAAAGTATAGTAATATATATGCCGGCGGTGCCTCTTCTTGCTTGACCCTGGCAGCGCCAACTCCCCTCGTGGGCGTCTTCCGGCCGTCAGGTGCGAGCTTCCCATGCTCCTGGAGATTGGGAGAGTGAGTGACTGGTTTGGAGGAAACATCATATTACCATGAACTGCTGGGCTCTTTGAACATGTTGCAAATAACATAATATTACATGTTTCCTCCATTTGCAATTGCAATCATCAGGCCATGCAGAGCTTTGCTAGACTTCTCAGAACCCACATCGACAACTAAGAGGCTTGTTGAATTGGACAATTAACAGATCAAAAATTATGTCATCTTCGCATCGCAAACATGGATCGATCAATCCAGAAGCGGCAGACAGCGGCAGTCAATCCTGAAGTTTCGCTCGGATCACCGACTTGATCTCGGCCATTCGTGTGTGGCCTCGCCTCCAGACAAAAGAGGCAGAGGGTGAGACAGGCTGACGTGCATGTGTGTGTAGGCGACATGACAGAACTAACCGAAGCTTAATTCATCAGGAGTTGTCACTGGTCAGGTCAGGTCCGGACCGATCGACCTAGATTATCTGTAGGAGTTGACGCTAGCAAATGATCGACATAGCACTTTTGTTTTACCCTTTGCAAATTAATTCCTCGAAAGATGAGAAGAAGCGCATAGTAAAAATATTACAAATTCGACTATAATACGCTCTCGCCACTCCTGCCTTGAATCTCTGTTCCGTTGGAATCGGTCAAGGCAGTAGGCCATTGCAGCACGGATGATTCCTCCTTCTGTGTCTGCCCATGCCTGACCATTGGACAAATGGCAAACAAAGATCAATTATTAAAATACAAACAAATTTATATTATATGGTGCTCTGCGAACTAGGCCACATCCATGTGCTATATATTTTGAGAACTGGATAGTTCTGGACAGATCGATCGATCGATATTTACTCGCCTCATGCATGGCCTTCTCCTTGAAGGGGTTTAGCTTATAGTCTTGACTCACACTCGTCAAGGCCTCCTTCACAAACAATGCGCGCTCACCACAACATCGCATGCAAACCAAACAACAACATATTCGATGGTTAATTATATTATACAAAATAAACAACTGCGGCAGTTGAATCTAGCTGCCGGACACTCCGAAACCAGTGAAACTTGATTGACATGCTGCAGACTGCGCGCATCATCCCCTCCTTCACCTCTGAAGGTCGTGGCAAGTCGTGAGCGAAGGATGCGAGGTATTGCAAAATAAAGCTGTAGTTGAGTTCGGATTCAACCTGGAGCGGATGTTTCAGCAGTGCACCCCTTCCCTTGATATACGATTTAAGTGTGGTCTTCGATAATATAGAATAAATTGACAAATGCTTTTCAATTAAATCATAGGCTTAAAATACTTGCACGCAGCTGTCGACAGGCATAAGAGCTGTGCCTGATGTGCTCCAATATGTTTTCCGTTCACGATGATAAACTCCCATTTCGGAACCTCAGATCAACCGAGAAGACTACAATTCCGAAGACTGATGTGAGTTTACACTGTTTGTTTGCACAGATTTACTCTTCACGTTGTGAAACTTGGCTGTCAATGCAACATGTCTATTCAACCCAGCTAGCCTTCAGAAAATGTGTGCCTTGCAAACTGCCCAAAATCCGTGTTAAAACGATTGGTGACATTAATTTTCTTGACACCATGCGCCCTAATCGCACAGCAGTCCATCATCTTGCTAGCTTATAAGTAATATCACATGACGTGTGTCATATCATGACCCAATTGAACCCAGCAGGTGAGTGTCTCAAAGCATCGTTTACTCATCTAGTTGATGTTCAAGGGAGCTGACAAATCTGAGGTTGAAACTTTGTGTGTGTCTTTGTTCGTAAGTCCTGCTCTCTGTCTCAAAAGCTTCCTGCGTGAGCTCATGAACCTGTCGTCGTCCACAAAGTCAACCAAGAAGGCCTGCAAAAAAGAATCAAACTCAGCACAACCCTGCACTAGATAAGCACCCCAGCTGGTTCTGTCCAAAATCATGTGCAAAACGCAGGGTGTTGGCAGAATGTGATTGCAGCATTGGGTCACAACTGCAATGTTCAAGATTCGAAGTGATTCTAACGAACATTCTTATCCAGGAAACACCAATAAAATATATCCGCATCACCACCCACATTCCACAAGGCCTTGACAAGCTCAATGCGAGCGGCCGAGTGCTCTTTCGGAGATGCTGTCATGGCGTCTGCCCCCATGTTTAAGGAACAAGTGCAGAAGAGCTACACAATGCGCTAGTAGCATATGATCTGCATCTGTGTTCCCAGGTTCGCATGAACTAGCTCATGCGTGCAGCACATGCAATGTATGAGCCGGGTCAACAACCGGAACGGCACCAAATGACCAAGAATCGGAGAAATAAACAAGTGCATTCTCCGATGCTAAGAGCACAGATGGAACGTCACATCAAAAAACATTAGCACAGGCGGGGAATCGCACCCACATCTATCTCATCGTTCATGAGCACATTCTCCAACGCACCTTTGTACGTTCAACACATGTGCAATGGTCACTCCAACGCATGAATTCCTCAGTGTGTTCGTGCCATGTCTTGTATATCTCGGACGACATTAAGCCAAGCTCCTGACGCTTCTTCAGCGCTTTCTTCATGATGTCCACATCACATCCATGCCATGGAAGAGCGAAATGGGATCGATAAAGGAATCATGAAACATCATGAAACCCTGGTGGTCAACAAGGCCATGTTCTGGAGTTCATTTTTGCGACGATTGTTCGCTTCTCAACACCTTGCACACACTTCTGCTTGATGTCCATCGAACACTCCACCACATCTCACATTGCCACTGAGCACTCAAACGCAGCTAATGTCGGTCAGCACGCCTCTCACCGACCCTCTGGATACCCTCTGGCAGCACTCACCATCACAAAAACGTACGTTCATAGGAAAACAACGGTCGAGAGTCCAAGAACATTTTAAAAATAGACTTCGACCCCTAGGGTATGCATGTATCAATGTAGCCTGTGTTTCCCTGTTCGATGCAACAGGACCAGGTGTGGGGTGGATGAACTTCCTCTGACTGGCCTTGTTGAAAATAGAAAAACATGTTCAAAACCACATTGATGGAGCAGGAGCTATATAACCATGGCTGAAAAGTTGCCCTTAGAATCTTCGAACTCCGCCAAGTCACACCTCACGGCTATAACCCACCATGTCCAACCTGCAAGTTTCTGCTCGTGCCCCTGCATTGATCCATATTCCACAGTTTCCTGCCTCCACCGCCGAACGGTCTCTGCGCCAGCTGGACGAGATCACCAGAAAGGCCTCCCGTTGACATCTGGGGGAGTTTGTTTTTCCTGTATACCATGAGAACTGGGGCCTCCTACAATAGTTGCATGATAGTAGGATCAAGTCCTACTGTGTCCTACTACTGCTGCTGCTACTGCTTGCATCATCTTACAGCATCAAGTTCTGTTGGCCCAAGAGCCTATGCCGACGCCGTCGCATCGTTCGGGTGCACCTGCTGCAAATGAACCAAGTCGCGGAGCCTTTCGATGAGTCCCCTGAGGCGGTGCGGTGAAACCGCAAGGGGAGAAAAGGCTCCCAGCTCGGGAAAATCCCTCTGGGAGGGAACAGGTCATGCTTTCCTCTGTCTGTGGGCATTGTGAGGTGCATACAGTCAAACAATGATATATTTCTGGTACTTTCCAGGCTGGGCTTTGGATCGAAACCTGGTGAGATGTTTAGGCCCGAAAGTCAAAACGACCGTAGACAATTGTCGGATGTGCAGGAAATGGATCTCCCTTGCAATTCAAGTCTGGCATATGAAAATTAATGAAAGTAAGCTAGTCATGGGAGAGTTGAGTACTTTGGTCACATTGTCTTTTTGGATCTTTTTGGTGTCAACTCTCGCAGGGATCTGGGTTGTCGACCGAATAGATACGCTACGCCGCTGCACGTCGTGGCTCGCTGGTTTGGTGGGTCCTTCTTTCTTGTCATTCCGCGAAAGGTGTATGGCATTTGAACACTACCTCTACACACAAGGATCCTATTCCGGTTCCTATAGGAGCTGCCTCTGGTCCTTCCATATTCTGAGCTTCTGTCCGGTTAAGGACATTCTCCAGCATTTCACACATCAAGTCAATTGCCACACAGGTGTCTCTGCATTTCAACTCCTGCTATTTCGAGGTCGTTCTTGGGTCGTTCTTCCGTACTCTTCTCACCTTCGAGAGCTGCAGAACGCCGAAGTTGTGAGTGGACTCAAAGCGTGGGATGATTGCAAAAAGACTTGGATTTGGCGAGGCCCAACATCAAAGTGTTCAAAAGCGAATAAAAACATGAGTTGACATTGAATATGCGAAATCCCCTGCCTCAGGCACGATGGCCTAGACCCCGAAAAGGACGCTGACAGTTCGATCTCGCACCAGTCCGTGCAGCATTTGACCGAAGAAAGGGATGTTGGGAGATGAAGAGGAACCCACCCTGAAGGGCACGACCACCCTGTCCGACCCTAAAGGGCACGTCCCGATGAAGTCCTCGTCCAGACGAGTCGTCCACCTCACTGGACCGGTCGAAGCATCGATCAGGTCCGACGGATGCAGGACCTGAATGGTAGGTACCGGAACGGTGGTCCAAACTGACGTAGAAAAGATTGGGGGCATCATCTATCATCTACGTCTACATCTATCTGGACCATTCATGGAAGGACCATTCCATGATCCATGTATTTTGGGCATCATCATCCATCTGGAATGGTCCTTCCATGTCCTTCCCGCCGGACCACGTCCTCACTTCTACGCCTACGACTACGTCCTCCCGGCCTCTCCAGCCACAAGCCGCCCGTGAGCCCGATGTAGTCGACTGACCGGGGAGGCTGGAGTGGCGAAGTGGCGAAGCTATGGGGAAATACTGGGGAGACATGCGCCACCATCGTGTCTGACGTCTTGGGCGGTCTTGGGGATACCCGGAGACCTGTTCTGTTTCAAGGTCTTGCACAAGGCAAGGGCAAGCATGACAAACTGCCATCAAAACCCTGCACAGTCCTCACGGAAAAATCATTACACATCCAAAGCAAGTCAAATGATGGGTGTGATTTGAAAATGCGGAAGGGCACCAAACCAATGAAATAAAATGTGTCTATTCCCTCTTCTACCACGACAGTTAAGTGACCCGTATTGCCTTTCAATTAGATCTATTTGATTCTTGGACCCTTCCACACTGCCAAGACCCCTGCCAAACACCTCATGATAACAACCCGCTCAGCCGGTCAGCTGTGCTAGTCCGTGCCGTCGCATCGGTCGCCTGCGGATCGCTCAGCGGCCGAGTTGAGCACACCGTCCACATCCAGGAAAATCACCCGCGGCGCCCGGATCGGCATGCGGTTGAAGTCGTTCACGGGAGTGCGAAGGGAATTCGAGAGAAGGACAGAGAAGGACGTAATGGATAGCAGTGTGCGAGTTCATGCGTTTTGGCTCATGGCTTGTGTGTATATACATATAATTGATATTTATGCTTTTTTTTTGGGGGGGGGGAAGGTCAGTAATACGACGGCCATACAAGCTGCATGTGTGAAAAAAGAGCTGGTCAGTTGGAAACAATGGCGAGCGGTGCGAACCAAATGAAGAACATGCTCATCCTCAGAGAAAACCAAAAGTGGCGAAGAGTCGCCGCTCAAGTGCTCTGAGCCAAAGACTTGGGCCTTGTCAAGAAGAGCATTGGGTCTTGCAAGCTTCACACTGAGAACCCCAAACCTGGGCTTCTTGGGTGCACCACTGGGTGCACGTCAAACGTACAACATAAGGAATCCTAAAAAACACGTCACATGCCGTCAGCATGGCAACCGACAAGTTAGCCAAAGTGTAATTGCAATGTTCTAGGGATCACCGCCATGGGAGCACAAGTACAACTGCCACTCAGCATGGGGCAAAGGGGGTTCTGGATTGAACATTGATTTATTTAAGATCCCTCCCTCCTAAGGCAATTTGACCACAGCTGGAATGTGCATATACTGTGATGTTCGAAGACTAGCCAGTTGATACGTGCAGGCTAGGCCTCCACTTTTACTTAAGCAAAATTCTGCACCTCTTGCCTAACTCCCAGCCAGACTCCATCCATCGCCGATTTTCATCAGAAACCAAAGAGAATGATACACGGTGCATCACGGAAGCTGGATGCATGGAAGATGCTTAACATGGCACAACACATCAACAGGGTCATCCGGACACGGCCTGAGGCCTTCTGAGCGGTGGGAAGATTCATTCACGCAAAAGGAAACGGCCGAAACATATCGAAACACCTAAATATAGCCTTCATCACAATTCCAGCAGGGCTTTTCCAGGATCAATTGGCTCGAATACCCATACAAACCTCCTAGTCCAGCCCTTTCATTTCTGCGTTGCACAACCCTCCATGAGGAATGGTGGGGGTGAGTTGGTTTTCCTTGGCCCTTACATGAATGATATGGCAATGACCTCTTACACATGTATTAGCAAGCGATGGCATAAAACACCTTAACCATCCTTAACCTTAGTGTGGGTGGTTTAGATCGAATAGTCTACTGCGCACCTGTGCCATCCCTATGACTCACCGCCCTGGAGGGCTCTCAGGAATTATCATGCCCGGTGACCTGGTGGACGATTTTTGTTTTCAGAGCGAACACCTGGAGACATAGCGCACAGTGCCGAAGATTCGCTCGCAAAGAACGTAGTGACAGTGCGCCCCTCTCAATAAGGGGGATCGTGCCCATGGTGACGACCCCTGACAACGGAGTCACAAAATGAGTTGGCAAGGGCTTGTCATCATGCATGGACAGGAACCAGGAATTTCAAGTTCGTGGGTCATGTCTTTGGAACCAACCAGCGCGTGCTTGTAAGTCCCAAGACTGAGTTCAACCAACAGGATCTCCAGAATCGGGTACGAACCCAAAATACGACAAGAATGGGCTCTCGAGCCGAGAGGCACTAATAAAAAACACATCAGCTCAGGAATGCTGGGTCCAAATCGCCTGAATTCAGGGATTGGACAAAAACACATGTGTCATTCATTTCCTGAAGATTAAAGACACGGAGATCCATGGAATTCAGAACTTTTGAAACGTCATGATTGACTTCCCAACCTCGAAACGGCAAACTAACATGGACTTTGACGGAACCCAGTGGTTGGTACAGGGATGGCTATTGGGTTGTCGGTTGTACCGGGCCCAGGTTGGTCTTCCCTGGTCGAAAACCAATTCCCTTTCTGAACTTCGGTGTCTTATATATACCCCGAACCGATCTGGAAGAAACCACTCATAGGGCTCTGCACGCTGCGGCCATCGACAGGTGAGCAAAAGCGGCCGACGGAGTCGCGGGCTTTACATAGAAACCTCCAGCGGCAAACCACCTCCAATTGCTCAAATCAACTCTTACAGCCGTGTATATGGGATTATATGGGTGCCTTTCGAAAGTGTTGCAGCTCCATGCCTATCTTTATATCTATAGTCTCAATGCTCTGGGAGTTGTTCTTTCTGAAGCGTCCGACTCGACAAAAGTCCACGAGAGCACGCCGATGTCCTCAAGATGTCTGGCTTGAGTGAATCACCTACTGAAAGTCCCTCATCTTTGGCAAAGTCCCTCCTCCTACCTGCATGTGATAAGTAGATTGAACTTGCTCAGAATGGGACATCTTTCCACTGATGTTAACCACCGCGTCACACACACAAACGACCTGCGCAATTAGCCGCGCAGATCTCAGAGCAACTCGACACCCGTGAGGGAAGTGGGCGACATGACCCTGGATGAGGGGAGGATGAAATTGTGAACATCCGAAAGCGTTCCGCACCCAAACAATGGACTTGAGATTTGGATAGATTCGAAGGATGAAAGTGTCGGGGGTGTCTCGAAACGCAGGCCCCGTTAAAAATGGGTAGAAGAAACCCACCAAGGACCCTTTAAAACCACGTGTCCAACCCACCAACTGCTCCACAGCAGCGGATGCTGGGGAACGCAGGTTCATGATGGTTGGTGCCTCAAGGAAGCATGAGGATAGCTTGATCTGCACCAATGGCAGTACTCCTAGCAGGATCACAGTACCACTCATGGGCAACACTGCAAAAAATGCTGAAAACCACCTGGAGCCCTGGAATGAACCGGTGTTCTCCTATGTTCTCCCACTCAGCTAATGCAGAACATGTGAATTCCGCAATAGGACCACAATTAATATCCCACATATTCCTACATCAAATAAAGTATTTTCTTTCCATGGATTTGCCTCTTGAAGGTGTGTATTCCAGTGAAGACCTGGCAATACCCAATGGCAAAGCAAAAAGGGTGCAGCCATCGCCGGCTGCCACAGTCGGCATGCCATTGGGAGGCAGAAATCGCGACTGGGTCAAGACCAGGTTGGCACTGGCATAGGGCAGCGCTGCTCGCGCCCCGTGACCCCCCACAGCCGCTGAAATGAATTGCTGGCTCAAATTCCAGAGCACTCAGCTTGAAACGCACTCGCAAAGCCCATAAAATGCAGGATTCTCAAAAAAGGTGGCAACCAGGTGTTCTGCACACTTCCAAAGCCACGTGCTCCTCTCGAAATAGTAATGCAACTACACTCCCTCTTCATCACAGGACGATGTTTGCCAACTTCTTGCGCCCTTCAGCCATGTGTGAGCTGCTCGTGAGCCAAGTGTGACCACGAAGACGTGTTCGGGACGGCGCGGCCTCTGTACAGGTTGGATCTCTTTTCGTCGGGTCATCGAACGCTTTGAGTCAAACAGGTTGATCCACCGCCCACATTTTCATGTGCAAAGCTAGGGGACCGGGAAGATCACAATAAGACAAAAACCTGCAAAAGCATGAACTGATAGCTGAAATCCCTGGGGATCCAAGTATGCAAATAGCCCAATGTCGGATAAGTACATCATATAGGCCTACTTTTCCAACAAGCATCAATATGTGAAATGTTTGTAAGGCTGCAATCTAAATGTGCTCGTGCTCCAATCCCACCAAAAACCCTCCAGAAACCGAGATCCTCTGGTCGGGCATCATCAGCAATCGCCCTGGGTCTTTACTTGCATCCCACGAGGACAGTGACTGGACTGGAGCTGCACCGAGTAGTAAGTGGCCTCTTTTCCAAGCCACCGGCTGCAGAACGATCTGGTGACATGCAACTCAAACCAATCATGCATGGATGACTTTGCGGTGACTTCTGGCCCTAAGCCTTCATTTTGACTGAGATCGTTCTGCAAGCTCGCGCTCTGGAAGCAAAACTTTTTAGTCCAGACTTTCTCAATTCCAAGCCTACTTGAGCACCATCCAAACGGGGAAGCCCCGAACAAAAAACATGATGAATGATGTATGATGATCATGTTTACAAATCCTCAGCTCATTGCGCCGGGTTGAGAAGCTGGAGCAAACAAACCTGGTCTTTCCAGGTTGCCTTTACTTCGCGTGGTGTCCGCCATGGCCTGTCACAGCCATGTCTCTACCTCTGCCTCTGTGGTTTCTGAAGACATCGGCTGGTCAGTGGAGAATGAGAAAGGATGACGAAAGTCTGCTTTGGAGTGCAAGCAATTCAAAGCAAAACACATTAAGAAAGCAAACTTCCTGGCAACTGACAAAAGAAGCTTTCAATGAAACACCCCAAGTTCAAATAGAAGTGCGCTGCAAAGAATGTACAGCAAGAGACGCTGCATGCGCCGATTACATGGAAACAGCAATGCGCAGGGTCACCTGTTGGGCTTTAGCACCGGTTTTTAGCCGACCGGAGAAGGGGCGGTGGAAATGGAAGAGGCTGTCGAAATGAACCCCGCTACGAGATATCAGGGTTCTGGAAGAGTTCCTGCTTGTGGCGTGCAATGCCATGCTTTTCAAGAATATTGAAAACAATCCAAAAGGATACCACTGAGTCAGAGGCAATGAACCTGCCGGCCCAAGCTCAGCAGTCGTGCAAACTTTGCCAAACAATTTGGGCACCACTGGATCTCCCATGTTATTCCCTTTCAAGAGTAGATTACCACTTTGGATGACTTTGGTATCGCTGGATATCTTTTCAAGGAAACATCTTCCAGTCTTTTTATATATTTTTGTGGTGCCTCCTTCTTCTCTCCATTGTCTAGTCTCTTTGTTTGGAAGCAACGGCGAGAACAACCTCTGATGCACATCGCGAACTGTCGCAACCGAACTAACACCAACTCACCCTCTGTCGCTACCTCAAACGAGTAGGCAGTAGGAGCCCCTTGGAAAACATTGTTCCTCTACAAACAGGGTTTGCCAATTTGCAGGCAGATGGATTGCTCCCGGATGCTCCTCCAAGGCGGGCTCCACAGGGGAAATCCACGACGCCCTCGCATGAAGTGCGTCACTTCATACAAGCTGTCGGGACCGTCTTCATCACGACGCCTGGCGTGAAGGGTCAAAACATGTATGCTGCACACAAAGGTCATGTCAAAACGAAAGATATTAAACATATTCCACCAAACAGTCAGCTGTTTTATTGAATATATTCTCAAGTGCTTGATGCTGTAGATCTTCTAGCAGCATGTGTGCATCTACTCGTTCACCCCCAAGAGCTAACTGACGAACCAAGCACCACCCCAACGGGTCATGAAACTAGGCAAATCGAATCGCTGCTTGATCAACGCTAATTCATAGGGCATGGTAAACCACCAAATCAACACCAAAAGGGTCCAACGCAAAGCTTTCTCATACGGCCAAAAGTCACCCCCCCTGCAAAAATAATGGAAGCTGCAGCTGAACATGCTTAAGCACACGCACTACACAAACACACACACACATTTATATATATATATATTGTATATTATATATACATACCTTATCCTTTCAAAGTGTGTGACGAGTGTGTAATTATGTGTTTCTTTCCCTACGAATCTGGACGAGTCCGGCTTTTGCTTTGGTCAAAAGCCCTGCTATGAAGGGAACTGCGGTGCAACGTGTGCGCTGCATGTGTTTGTTTCGTTTGCTTTCTTTCGCGTCGGTAGGCCTCATTTCATCTCTGCTTCCTCCAGCTCATCAAAATCAAAAAGGCCGCAGGCGTTCGTCCAGCTCTCCTTGTGGGTTGAGGCAGTGTGTGTGTGTTTCTCACGAAGCGAAGAAAAAGAATGATCTAAAAAGACTCCGAGTAATTACTTCTGCTATTTCGGATTTATAGCTGCAAAATAGAGGTTTAGGATTTAGGATGGTTCTGTGTCTTACTTTGGATCCCTTCTCATGTTGCACATCAACACGCCTTTCAGTGCCTTTTGGAACAGCTTGGAGCATGTTCTACCTGGACCGGCCAAGCCGATCTTGGATACAGCACGTGTCATTGACAAAATCAGTTTCTTACCTGCTATTCGAGTTGGATTGTAAAACCAAAGCACAGGGGACGGGTTTTCTGCTGCCCTGTGCTGCTCCAACATGCTTTTTGGACTTAAGAGGTTCATTGTGCTTTGCTGCCTGCCCACGAACTAGCTCTTGTAAAACATTGCAGTGTTAGATTGGTCACGCTAAATCAATGGATTGAAAACCTCCTTCGTGGTCATACCGAACACATCGGGACAATGGCCTCGGGAACTCTACAGAACTCTACACATGGAATGTGCACATGGACTCCCAGTACTTCACAAAGCAGGGAATTTGGATGAATTCTGACTGGTGCTTAGTAGGAAATAAGGGAATGAGCCCCCAATATTCTATTGGATCCATTCCCTCATTCCCTGCTAAGCACCAGTCAGCATTTGGTGTAGGGGTCCGGACTCCGTTTGGAAGAAACACCACAACTCCATGGAACACCGCACGCCCACCACGCCCCCCTTCCGGCCTTCGGGTCGCGGACTTTCTCCACAGGCGAAGTGTCCTTCTTGGCTGCCTCAAAGCTGAGGGCAACGGCCTTGGAATTGATCTCTTAGCATTTTTGGGGTAGATCCAGGAAGGCGCTCAAGGCTCCAAACGCACACTGTGAGTGGTTCCAGCCATTCTGACCAAAAACGATCAAACACATTATCTTGGTCTCCAGTGAATTTGGGTCCTGGCTAAGCCCTGGTCCTGTGGGGAGTCCTTGACATTTGTACATGAGTGCATCATAGACCAAGCCTGGCAGTTTGCATGGGCTCCAGTGATGTCCAGTGACGGCCAAACCGGTTGTCTCGGGTCTTCAGAGCCGTACAAACTGGGTGATGCTAAAAAGAAAAGGCACACGTGTTTGACCGGCTGAAAATGGCACTAAGTTGGCCCAGCAAAATCTTGGGTTCTTCAAACAGTCGAACAACCAACCTATACCAGGACCCTCCGTACGGGGTGTCTATAAAGACTAATCGCCTCTCAGAGGTGAGTCGGGGTGTCCAAAAACCAGTTGGAAGCTCTTGGTATATAGGTGAGGTGAACCCTGATTTTATGGCATGGAAGAGGGTGAAGATGGTGATAGCCAAGTCCGAAAACATCAAGGCACCTCAAGTCATGTGATAGTGATGGAGGTGGAATCGGTAGGATTTGAATCAGTCGGCCTGTTTTGCATTCAACATCTCAACCTGCAAATGGTGCCCACAGGATTAGCAACAAAATAGTAGAGAATAGTACAAACCACGCCTCACTCTCCCAAACACTGAGCATGCCTCAGGAAGAGAGTTGGTCGTGGAGATTGGCTCCGCCTGATCACATCAGCCGCATCCAGCAGCTCCCCGAAAAAGCGAACTGACTTGCTGAGGTCGACCGCCACAGAACAACACATGCTTGGACTTGCCAATGTTTCGACTCAAAAGGCTTGTTATGACCAGTACTTCTCCACCAGGGGAAGGGACAGCAAAGCGGTTTCTAAGGGTGTTCAGCAACCCTGGCGATGCTGTTGATGGAATTTATCCTGATACACACCAGTCAACCCATATCAAACACGGCATCGGTGTTCTCATGTGTTCTCTGATCCCGCCAATCCATTCAACAACACAGATATATTAATATATAATACATGTATAAACACCCTAAACATCTCCTTATAATAGGCCAATCTTCAAAGTCTTCATAGATAGGTTCTTCTTTTGGGATGAAATCCCGGTCACCCCGTCACCCCGGTGGTCGGTCTCCACCTCCGGCTCCTCATGGAACCACATGGAAATGAGCTGACGCTTGTGGAAAGCATACTCCTCAGAGCTGACGCGATCAGCGGGACCGAGGCATCCGGGGAAGAGACCCGCAGTGCCAGGTGCACTCGATGCACAGGGAGGTCCATCTATATATATATATATAATATTGTAGAGCATGAGCATGAACAATCAAACTGCCAGGCTGTAAACAACACTTCATTCCTCACACCTTTTCACCATATATTAACCCTCTCAAGTCCAAATCTTCAGCCTAGCCACTCTCAGGACAGGGTCCTCCTTGGCCAAGCGAATGGACGCCTTCCTCAGCAGCGAAGGTAAAACAGGCCTGGAACCGAAACTCCCAAAAGAAAAGCAGCGGACTCACCACAATGTGGGTAGTTTAGCGGAACCCAGAAAAGTGTATGATATGTGTATGATAAAGCAGGCCACAACCGGAGGATAGGAGAAACACATGGAGAAACATCAACCCAAATTGCCGTTCCTCTCGAAGGGAGCGACGTCCCTTCCGTTCCGTCTGACCCGTCTGCTTCTCCACGGCGAGGCGCCGGTCGAAGTTGGGGCCGAAGAGGGAGTCCCGGAACTTCCCATCCAGGCACTTCCGGAAGAGGGGGCTCGAGAGAAGGTCGAACCTGAAGGGTGGCGCGCGAAGCTATGCGCTCGCGGCATGCATACTCTGCCGTCTTCTGATTTTTTTGGCGGCATCCCGAACCCGTGGTGGGCGGTCATGGTGGTCTTTTGTGAGGTTATTGTTTTGATATGTTGTGTTTTTTTCCACTGCTGCTGCGTTGTATACGGGCGGAAAGAATCACTAGCGGCTAGCGGCTGGGAAGGCCACAGAAACGGGACAAAGAAAATCACAGAAACACCCTGAAACACTTCCAGCACATGGCTGAAACATGCCACCGAGCCGAGCCACTGACGAAACCCGGCAGGCTGCCGTTCAGAATCCCGGTGGAAAACCGGCAGAATCCCACAAACGGGTCACAACACCAGGATGGCTTTACTTAACCGCAAGAACTGCTCAAGGAACCTGGGGACCAAGTGCATTAGCTTGAGGCCGATTTGGGGCACTGATCCAAGACTGCAAAATGGTGGACATGCTGATCAAATAGGTTTGCAAATGAGCATGTCCCACCAGGTTCACTTTGGCTGGCCTGAATCGAGTCCTGAGTCGACTAATTGGATTTTTAGCTGATTGACCTTGCACAACCAGAAGCCTCTACCAACGAACTACTGCAAGGGCAGAGACTTTCCACCCGAAGGGGCTGATGGGACCGAAGGCGCTGGCATAGCCAGCGACAAGAATCATTCAACCCTTGAAATGCCGGAACAAGCCGCCAAAGGTGCTTCTATGTGCTTCTTGCCATGATCTCCAGGTGATGGCTAAAGGCGTCGTATGCCCCCCGCCCCAAGCAAATCCGTGGCAGCCGGGGCACCAAATGGTCCAAATCACGAATTTGGGCAAGGCGTTCCATGAGGCGAGCTCCTCCTCGTTCATCCTCAGACCGCGAACGAGGGCCCCGACGAGTGGACGGCCCTGGTCGGGTCGCAAGGGGTCAGGTGGTGGACGAGGGGACGAAGCAAGAAACCATCAAGCGGCATCAAGCGGAGTGTCCAGGAGTCTTGGTTATGGGGCGCCAAGTCGAGCCGAAGGCATCCCGCGGCGAAATAATAACATAAGACCAGAGCAGGAAACCTCGGAGAATACATCTCGGAGACCTGAACCTCCAGGTCTTCCCAAGTCGTGGCGAGACCAACAACTGCGACTCGAAAAATGCTCATCCAGGCGGCCGCGAGAAGGTGTGCAGAATAAATTCTTGCATAAAGCTGTCAACGCCTGGCAGGGTCGTTGTGGAGAGCGCTCCTCTCCCATATAAAATAGACCACTCCAAAACCACATAGCATGTAAACATAGATCACCCCAACAAGACATATAGAACACAGAATGAAACAAATTCACTATGCTTTAAAAAGAGTATAGTTTTGAGTTTTAAGCCCAGTGAGTGGGTGTGAGAGGGGCATCCCTACCCTCCAAGTTTGGCAGCCAACACCATGGAACTGCAGGTGATGTTCCTCCCCACCAGCTGCCCATCAGCTCACCTGCAGGCAGGCTATGCTTCAAGCCACCGAGCTCCGGCGTTGGGCTGCTACCGCCAACCTGCAAGCGGGGCATCAAATTGAATGACCAATAACCTAGTCCAAACATGTCCAAACCTTAGTGTTCGGAGGACGTGTGGCAAGCAAAGACCCTACAAAAAAACAATGATAAATAACAGATAAGGCAGCAATTGCCACAGGGGCGCACAATAGGACACAAGGAAGAAAGCAACAAAGAAATAACACTAAATGCCAGCTAACAGCAAGGACATAGATCAAACAGCAAGCAAAACACTGGTAAACAGCAATCAGCTACGAACTATAGCTTTGTTGTCGTGATTGAAGTCCTTTTGATGAAATTACAGTATGTGAGTTGGCAAGTCATCTGTTTTATTAGTGGTAGTGGCCCTGTGTGTTTCATGCCCCTCATTGAGGTAGTAGTTCCATAGACTGATCAATCCCAACTAAAAGTTGTCTGTCCACTTTGCAGGACTTCCTTCCCATCATCACAGGGATTCAGCACACGGTACCCAAACACTCCATGTATGAAATATACTACAGTATATGGTCTAAATAATGTTGACCATTAAAACCCCAATCTAGATGAACACATAATATGCAATACAATGTCATAGCTGAAATATATGCCGGTCCCATGGCATGTCTTCATTCCTTCGTCCTTCCCCCTTCGGCCGCGCGACGCCCGAGAAGCTGCGAAGCTTTACGCCCGACCTGAGAGAGCAGCACTCTCAGCAGGAAATGAAAAGCTTCTTCTTTGGAACCTAGACTGGCTTACATTACATGACTTGATATTACATTACTTACATCAACACTGCTTACTTATCACATGACACCGTGTTTGCAAAGTAGTGACATACACACACATATATAAATATTATATTTATATGTAACTATCGGACTGCAATGTAGCAACATCATGCAACAAAGCAAAGCGATGTTTTGTTCTCGGGTCTCATGGCCCCTTGGACCAGTCCATGATGCTTAGATATGCTTAGTAATGGTTCGTAGGGACCCGGGTTCTCAAAACAAGTGAATATTCTGTATGTTGGCAGCCATCATCTGCATGCGACCGTTCTTTTTCCCGGCAGTGAACCCAATCCAGCAGCTATCGAAGTGCTCAAACAGTTTTGGTGCATCGGGTCACTCATCGGGTAGCCTTCCGGCTTGTGGATACGGCGCCCCACCAGAGCGGTAGCCGTCTGCACCGGTCAACCCACTGCCCCCGAAGAGCCCGGAAACAAGGGTCCTCAAGCCGAGGTCGAAAGCATGGCGAAAACAAAGCGGCTCAGCCAAGTGGGGAGAAAAAAAAACATGCCTTACAAAGGATGTTTATATAATGATAGGCCCTGCCCTTATATATATATATATAGAGGTTAAGGGGATTTAAGGGGTGTCTATTCAACTCGCCTTGCGGGTCCCGGTGCACTTCACAAAACCCGAGGCACAAAGCCCGGATATCCGGGTCATGCAGGAAGATCTTCTCTCTGACATGTTCGCCCTGCGGCACATCCAGGAGTCTGCCATGACAAACGCACGTGAGGTAACGAACAAATAGGTAAATGAGACCGTATGAGATGGTGCGAGTGGTGCACAAAGACCAGTCCTTCCTCAAAACCACGCAAAAAGTCCTGGTGAACATGGGTGGTTTGTTGAGGTGCACAGTGGGACCACTGCTCAGTCAGAATGGACAAGAATTCAAACAACCGGCAGGATTTGGCCCACTTCCGAACACAACCCCCGCGATCGCCTCCTTGAAAGACACATAGCAGGTGCCCCTCTTCCGCAAGAAACGTAACCGTTTGGCCGTCCGCTCCTGAAGGGGTCGGCACGCCGAAGAACAGGCCGCATGAAACGCAGGTGAACGGGTCGCTGGAGTCCACATGAGGGATGGCCAAGTTGGTATGTTCAGATCAGATCCACCTTAATGTAGTAGACTCGTGTTTTTTTAATAAACATGTGGACTAAATAGCCGTGAGAAACCTCCTCATATGAGTGGATTTATGATCGCTGGCTCGATTCCGTCCAGTTCCCGGCGAGATGCGGTGCAGATGAGTTGCTTTCTACATGCACACATACATACATAAACTTAATGGACTGCAATGTTGATGTTAAGCCAAGGCTCATCCATTTCAAAGACGTTCATCACTTCGGCTCTGAGCTCTGCAATGGTCGACTTGGAGTGCCTCCGGCCCAACGCGTGGCAACGTGCGGCAACGCGTGGAATCTGTGGTATGGATCCAATGGTTGGCCTTCCATGTAAGCAAATGAATCAATCACCTCAATGACTGAACAAAAACAAACCAAGATGACCAAGCAAAAAACATGAAATCAATCATGAGAATCACCTTCCGGTCAGAAATGCACACGCATTTCTAGCCCTGGCAGCGGGATGCAGCGGGTAAGGAATGATATACGGACCAATCACATTGACAGAATTCCACACCCAAGGCGTCTGATGGCATCGGATCTGTGGCATCGCATGGATGTGACCAACCGAACGCGCGTTTTGGATCGAAAAAAATATTGATGGAGGAGAACATTCCGGCGCAGCGACCGGAAGCTCTCGATTTGGCACCGGCGCAGCGACCAAAAGCTCTTAGCTACTGTGACACAGATGGCTCAAAAGAGTGTGATTCAATGGCTTGGTCCTTCTGGGATAAAAAAGGATGCAGTCTTGTGAGCAATGTCGCCCCGTTATTGCGTGCCGTGTATGGATGATTGGATGTGGCTGTTCGGGTCCAAATCGAACAACAGCAACACATTGCAACACGCTCTGCATAAGGAGAACCAGCCCAAATATGCTCAAATCCCAAGCCCAACAACGCAAAGCCCAGGCGCATGTCAAGCTTCATGGCTGGCTGATCCGGAGACCTAAGAATCGCTTCTGCATGATCAACCGCACCTCTTCCACGGGTGTGACCAGTAAATACATAGCACAAACACCATCCTGAAAGTTGCTTTTTTATCATGTTCTAGCCGGATCTCCAGCATTCAGGGATCTATCTAGAATGGTACACTTGTTTGCCTCCAAGCTATAATGGCCTGAACGTGTGGTGCGCGTTTGGCGGTTTGGCCAAGCAGCTGCATGGAGAGCAGGGAGACGCAAAGCGGCGTGCCTGGCTCGTCAACGGCCGCTAACTGATGCAGGTCGCTCTGATGCGATCTTCCTATTAGAGAGAGAGAGAGAGCCCGTGTAGATGGAGAAATCACTCTGCCTTGGAGTCCCCATCTAGCGAGCTGGGGACGGGCTTGCATTTCAACATATATGCATCATGAGGATCACCAAATGTTGTGAAGGCACTGGCGAACCTGTCATGAAAGCCGCAGCTTGTCGGTCTCTCAATCGGTCCTAGCCAATTTTGGAGGGGATGGACTATGGAACAATCCTTAACACATTAAATCCAACGTCTAACATACTATAACTATAACTACCAAGATGCTTACTAAAACCTTGCATAGTCGATGTAAGGTCAAGACCAGGGACTGCTAGCCTGAACCTGGCCTTCACGTGTCCTTTAAAACTGGCCGTGGAAAATGCTTTTGAAAGGACATCTGACAATAAAGAATGGGACCCATCTGTTGGGCATGGGTCTCCATCTCTACGGGTCTCTATGCTGTTGATGAGAGTTGATCTATGTTTTTAGCAGGGGTCTCCATCTCTTCATCAACTCTTATGCATTTCCAGCTCCTAACCCTTGTTCTGATCGGGCGCCTTTGCGCTTGCTTGGGTTCCTCAGGCCACGAGCAAAAGGGCCGATTCTACGGTGTCTCATGACCACAAACACCAACCCTCAGCGCAGGACAAAGACTCGCAGGATCCCAGTTCTGCCACTTTTGCTGGGAATGGGGTCGATCTATGCTGTGAATAGAACACTTCCTTACAAGCCGCAGGCAACAAGCCGCAAGCAAAATGCAAACAACACAAAGAAAGCGAGTGCACCTCATCAAACCCCAGCAAATCACTGCAACTTGCAGGCCAGGTTGTTTTCTCATGCGACATCAACCTGCTTTTTTGCATCCGAGACTTCCGGAGAGGTCTTACTCTCAAAACAGGAGCCCCCCCTCGTATGCCCCATTGGGAAAAAAGGAAACAATATGGACGACGGACACTCAATCCCGTTGCTATTCAAAGGGTCTCCCTCTTCTTGGGCACAGCCATCTCTGAAAATCCAAACCCCTTGGATTAGGCCACGTCACTCCTTCACCGGTGCCAGCTCTGGCAACGGCGTCTCCGGTGGAGGCACCACCTGGGAGGGTGTTTCACCAGCTGGGCCGTGGAAGGAAGAGAAAGCAACACGGAAGCTCACGAGGCATGAGATATCATGAGATGCAGATCTTCCTGCGGGGTTGAATGGGAAATCATATGAAGTCTGTGTCTTTGTTATTGAGCAAGGACCCCTTTTTGATGCCAAAACATCTCAAAACCCTTTTCCATGCAAAGCGATTCAACCGTAGCCCGGCCGGTCACGACCGTCCTCCACATCCACCTGCCCGCCACCCCAGCCAGTCCTCGCCTCGCGGACTTCGGACGAAGGAAGGAGGTTCTTGCTCTCGGACTGCCCAAGCTTCTCAACGTCCACCGGGTCCTGCCATGAAAGAAACCATCGTTCTTTTGTAGGTGTTGCGGTACCCAAACACTCCATGTCTGGAAGATATGCCGCTCCAAGTGAACCCCCAAACCACACCAACTGATCGGCAAATCTGG